ATGGATGGATGGATGGATGGATGGATGGATGGATGGATGGATGGATGTTGAAAACCCAAGACTGTAGGACTCTGCGACCCGGGTGAGGACCCTGGAACGTTTTGAATCTCAGTCCAGACGCCGTTCTTCTTTCACTGAGTCTTCAAACGGATCAAATCGTCTCAACATGTCAGTTCTTACAAACGTCTTCAGATCAGTGTCCATCAATGAAGCTGTTCTAGCAGCTAGCTGTAGCACTTCCTGTGCGGACTGAAGGACCTCCACCAGGTTTATGGTTTCAAGATAAATTCACTCTCCGGGTGTCTCTTCAAACCCGTCTGTGATTTTATGGACGACCAACGAGACGTGACGGAAAGAGCTCGAGAGTAAAAACGTTTCCCGCCCAACCAGACCACGTGACAGTAGTTTGAAGACAGAAAATAATCCCGTTAGCGTGTTCAGACATGTGGACTTGTCCACGTGGACCCGCTCTAAACCTTAAACACGATGAACAAAATCCCCGCTGGAGGTGCTACAGCTAGCTGCTGCAGCACCTTGTAGGACCAGTAACCACAGAAGTCCAGTAAAGACGCGTTTAAAGATTTAAGACGTTTGTGACAAAATGTTTCAACCGGAGTCGTTGGCTGCTGTCGGACATTAGCTCATCAGCTGTCACCAAAAAGCTACCTGCGACAGGTAAGATACTGTTTAACGTTTACACTGAAGAAGCAGAGTTTTGTAGTAATTCTGGTGTAACAGTTAAAATATATTTAAACATCCTGTGGGGCAGGCGTCCCTCTGTGTCCTCAGGCAGAGACATCCATGTCCTCCTCCTGTCCGCACAGGGGAGGACAGGAGTCCAGAAAGTCCAAACCTCATGTTGTCCTCCAGCATTAACCCATGCCGCAGTGTGCATCCCATTAGAGGTGCTGTCAGAACCAGGATCTGGACCCGTCCTGCGGGTTCTGCTGGACGTTTAAAGGATGTTCTGGACCCTTTCAGACACTTTAGAGCCAGAAGAGGTCCAGAGTGAGTTTCTGATCCTTTCTGTGGGTCCAGCATCACCGAGAGGACACATGTCCTGCTCAGGATGGACCGGTCCTGCTGCAGCAGAAGCCGGGTCACCGGGTCCACTGTAAGTCCACCGAGCCAGCCCAGAGGATTTATAAACTCTGATAAAGTACAAATTAAACGGTTTGCTTTCTGGTCGCTCAAATTTGGCAGCGCAGAGTTGCGTGAGACAACCAGCTGAATTTCAGCTGATGTGACTTTAGGCTTCAGCTGAGTGAACAACATAAAACATGAACACCTACCTGTGTGTGGTGGTGGTCCAGCTTTGGGCTCTCAGATGAACACACGGAGTTCTGAAGAACCGGATCATGTGGAGCTGCTCAGTCTCCACCAGCTGCTGCGTAAACACTGCGGTCATTTAAATGGATGGCAGGCCATTCTGCCACATAATCACACTACAGTGCACGGACAATGCCACCTGCTCTCAAACTCTGTATGGCAAGGCATTCTACCACATAATCACACTACAGTACACGGACAATGCCACCTGCTCTCAAAATCAGTATGGCAAGGCATTCTACCACATAATCACAATCAACTGACAATGGCACCTTCTTTCAGACCTGTATGGAAGACCGTTGCTACATATAAAAATACCACATATTCGACTAAGAAACATCCAAAAACCCCAATATGGAAGGCTGTTTTAACATATAATAGCACTCTGAGGTCAACTGATAAGTTTTTATTTATTTATTTGCCAAAATTAGAGCAGCCAGTTTGTTTTGTTTTGTTTTTTGGCCAGTATTTATTTATTTATTTTTTCATTTAACTTGATTTAAAAATAGCATTCAACTACTTAAACAAATATTTAAAAACTCTTAGAATAACTAGTGCCTAAAAAAAAAAAATATATATATATATATATATATATAGAAGCACGTTCTTGATAAAAACAAAGATAAAATAAATTATAGAAGGCTGATTATGGCTTTTACATTTTTACATGTATAAATATATATATAAACGTTTGTTTGTAATCCTGTAGAAATTGTGTTTTTAAAAATATAAAATGTGTTTGAGTCCAGCGGGTCCAGAATCTTCTATTGATCTAACAGTAAAACAACATTTCTACATTTAATTTAAACCTTTTTACGTATCACAGACAGTTTAAACCCAAATATATTTAAAGTTTAATCTCACTGAACTAATTTATATTTTGTAAATCCGTTTCTGAATCCTGCAACACAAAACCCCACAAGAGTTTGAATAAAATGTTTTATACATTTTTTGTTGTTGAAAGGATCAATTGTTTCAAGTTAAAACAGGATTGAGAGAAAACATCACAAATGTTTTTTTAATCTTTTAGTAAAAATGTGAAAGTTTCACCGTTCTTTTATTTTAGTTGGTTGCAGGTTTGAAATGCTGAAATAAACGATTATCAACAAATCATACTTGATTGACAAATAAAATAAATCATCCTTTTTAATGATTTTCGTTGTAGTTTTATTAATCTAAGCACCTAAAGTTACATTTTATATAATTGTGTTAAAAAATTCATAGATTTTTTTATTAAGTCTGGAGTCAAAAGAAATCCTAAAATGTAAAAGAAAATGTTTTAAAACTTTCTAAACAGAAAAATAAATTTACAGCAAATAAATCTGATTAAGATTCATTCCATATTGATAATTATTGCTCACTATCAGTTGTCCCCCCCCCCCCCCAGTAAAAACAAACAAAATCCAAACATTCACAACAAAACAATCAGAAAACAGATTTGATGAAGTCGATTCAAACAGAAACTGCTGAAAAACAAAAAAAATTAAACCAGAATTTCTTCCAACTGCAGAGAAACATTTGTTCACAGGTAAAAGAACCAGGTGGTCGTCACAGCAGTCGGCGCGGTACTGGAGGGGCGGAGTCTGTTTGTCTGTGGAAGGGTATCTGAGGAAGTGCTCGCATCGGGCAGGATATGTAGCGCTCGTGCACCGTCTCTGGCACCCTGCAGGAAACACGACGCGTTACGAAACTGAACGCTCAGGAGCTTCAAAACATTTGAAAACAACAAACAAACAAACAAACATCAAGAGGATTAAAGAAACGCTGCTGTTATCTTAAAAAGTTCACCAAGTTACCGTTAAACTTGTCATGAGGTCAGCTGGTAGAGACACAAATATCTGAAGTAGAGCTTTTATTTACTACTAGTCTCGCGAGGAAAAAAAAGAATAAAAAATGGTTTCATGTTCCTTGTTAAAAATACAAACTATGTAACAAATAAAGGTCATGATTCTGATTGTTTCTAGAAAAAAAAACAAAATAGAGATGGGATTTAAGACTCGAGTGGTAAGTCACGTGGTATGACCAGTGATGTAGTACAGCCCAAGTCACAAACATGTTGCACAGCCGTACGGCGCTACACATGGCTGAATGGCACTGTGTCATACGGCCATGCATTGTACCGTATGTGGTGGCATAGTATCGTATGTGGTGGCATTGTATTGTAGGTGGTGACATTGTACTGTAGGTAGTGGCATTGTACCGTATGTGGTGGCATTGTAC